AGGAAAAAAAAAGAGGCTCGCTTCCGATTTGCTGCAGGTTTCATCTGGAATGCAGATTTCAGCCTCCAGGGCCACGAAAAAAAACCAACGAGACTGGTTTCATATTACTGCTGTCCTAACTCTGCACAGCTATTTCTGTGAACTGTACCTAGGTACTTATCAAAGGCTTTCACCACACCCAGTGAGTAGGAGCTGTTTGGGTGGGCAGGGTAAACAGCCAGCACTCAGAAATGCCAAGTTAACTGTTTAGAAATCAGGCAGACTGTCCCTCTGCACTGCACCCAGCATGGATTATTTCAAACCAGAACAATCTCTGCTGACATATTTTTTGATAACTTTCACCTATATATATTGCCACAGTAATGTTATATGTGTGAGATTTGTTTTAGTTAATACTGGCGAAAACAGTTGAAGGAAATCTTCAAGACTGTATAACTCAATATTAACAGAAGTTGTCAGGGACAATATACTTTTTTCATAACACATATAAAGAAAGTACAAAATACTCTTAAGCACCTTTGCTATTCAGAAAGTCAGTAACACTTTGGTCAGGTTTCTGTCAAAAGTCTTCACTTTGGTTCCTTTTCTTATTTTTGGAACTACAGATATTGCAAATCTGCAGGAATTTATATTCTTCTTATTTCCTGCCCCTTAAGAAGTTTGTTTAGTTAAATTTCCACATTGGTACCTTAGAAATTCAAAGATACTATTCTTTTTTTTGCACCCAAGTTAGAGGGTCATTGTACAGTCAGCCATTTAGCTGTGATGAGTAATCTTAAGCAACATGAGGAAAACTGTCTTTCACAGGGAAATCAGCTGCAGATCACACCACTGTGTCAAAATACTGAAAAACATTTACTCAAAAGCTGAATATTACAGACAACAAGCAATAACAAGGTATCCCAACGCATTTAACTTTTGGTTTAATGTTTAAAAATATAGACCGTACAAAAAGCATATGTTTACCTTTCCAGTATATTATGAAAGATCATAAAGTCAACAGCAAAAGTCATTGGTATCTACTGCAGGGTGAAAGTTTCCTGAAAATCAGACTGTAATACTGAGGGCTCAGATGAAGCTTACAGCCACCTTTTCAGTTACAGGGTTGCATGCATACCTATAGACAAAGGGCACTGGAATCATTCTCGTCTTTATCTGCGATTTAACATAGAACAATGTCTTTTGCCTTACTGCCTGCCATTTCCTGTAGTAAGCTCCGGACTCGCTTCTCTGCTATGCTTAATCATCAGGTGCCAAGGACAGAAACAACTGACAGATCATGGCTACCCAGGTTTTCTAGGCTTAATACAGAATAGTATCACAAAAGGAAGCTCTACATAAGGAAAGAGACACAGAATCTTTATCACTCCTTATGCCAACCTACTCTTATAATCCCAGGGTTAGTAAAACAAGTGGAAGGCAGCTACCTCAGCACTGGTGATTCCCCCTAAGACAAGATTTCTTGAAGGCAAATCTATAGCAATTCTAAATTTCATTTTATGACAAAATAACTGGGGCAAAGTGATCCCACTGAACCAAAGTTTTCTACATTTAAATTTACATCTATTTTTATGTTCAGCCACTGGACTAATTGCTCATTGTCCTAATAATTTCTATGGTTATGCCTTGCTTATTTACTTATGTACACTTGTTTATCTGGGGTTTAGTTAACTTATGATGGATAAGCATTAAATCATATTTTTCAAGAATAGTTTCACTGGTCACTAACAAAAAATATACCTATAAGAACAAGTTCATGATACCTTTTAAACTAATCATACTTATTCAGATTATGCCAAAATCTTTATTTATCTGTTTATATTAATGACAACCCACACTTAGAATAAAACTTCTCTGTAATAATCTATGGTCACCAAGCTGTAACAGTCCTATGAATATTGTACATAGGCAGGTTACTGAAAATAGCCATTATCTAACTATTTAAGATTTTAACAGTATGTATGAAAAGTTTCGTTTAAAAGTGGACTTAAAAGCAGGAAAACCATACAACACATCCCAACAAAATTTATGAGACAACGATCAAATTAGTAGTGAAAAGGACGGTGCTTTGAGCATCAGGCCAAAGTTATGCAAGGCATTGAGATGTTAGAAAACCCAGAGTTGAACACTGAAAAATTACATCTCCAGAAGTAGAAATATTCCTTATAAAACCAGAGGTAATCTCACAAGCCTGCAGAAAATGATACTGCTTTATATGTGCCTCTTCTCTTGATAATAAACTCTAGGAAGTGAGAAGAAACTTTCAAGCTTTTTGAGCATTAGGATGATGGAGGAATGATCAAAACTGGAAGCCAGCCAGTCTCTCAAATTCACCGTGCAGTCCATAAACCCCGAGCCTCAAATAACGCTTTTGTGACGACCTGTTTCTCACAGTCTGACAACCATGCCAGCGGACAGTCCCCTGCTGAAGGACTGGATAACTGATAATGACATACACATTGGTACTGACCCAATAGAGTGTTTCTGGGTAAAATACATACATCAGTATATGCCCTTAACATTTTTACACAAGAAGGAGATCATCATATTTTGATGTGCAAATAAGACGGAGCCATTTTATTGGCAGAAGTATTTTAATGCTGGGTGGATCTATCTCATAAGGAAAGTCTCTCTGAACAGGCTGTAATACTGCATCTGAAGGAAGAAACAACTTCAAAATCTCTAGAAAAAATCAGTTATGATAATGTTACAAGTCTCTACTTAATAAAACTGACAACTCTCTGGTGCCTCAGAAAAGCCCCTAAAACCTGTCATAGCAACTTTCAGGGCAGTCAACGCACTAATTATACAAAAGGACAATAATTCCTTACAGTTTAAAGTACATTTAATAATCCACACCCTTTCTGACCTACATTTCATTACAGACAGAAGTCACACCTACAACTCAATCCAGTTCTGTTCGTGAGATGTCTAAGAGTTCCCCTGAAGCAGGTTTTAAAACTAGCTTTGAAGAAAACACACAATAAGCCAGAATAAAGTAATCTAATTTCTATCACTATCATACAGCAGGCTCAAGGCTTCCTGACACCGTATCTATTCAGTTTGCCTTTTCAGATCACTGTAATAGCAAACTAGAGAAACATGAACAGGGCATGAAGATGCATTCTACAAAACAGGCAAGTGGCAAAACTGTATAGAAAATGAACTTTCAACTCTTTTTTCAACACAAAGAGCCTTAAAACAAGAAAATTTTGCATAACTTCTTGAAAATAATAATAGAGTCAAATCTGCAGAAATTGTGTTAGGCTTCAGAAGAGCCATGTGAAGCAGCAGGCTGTGGTTGTGGTTCAGGCGGTTTGAACTGATCTGAAGCTCAGCTGACACAGTCCTGCCCTCTGCCCTGTCCCCAGCCCAACCTTACTGTGCTGACTGATAATGATCGTAACATTCTCCTGCTCTCCTGTCTGTCTCTCCTCCTGTTCATCTCGTTTGATACTTAGTATTTTAACTCTTTAAATGCTCTAAGATAGAAAAGGCAGAGAAGATGGAAGGAAACCTCTAAGTCCTGAATTTTCATCATTGTTCTCAGCCTTGTTACTTCACTATAGACCATTATGTGAAGTTTGGGAATCTGGGTATCACCACCATGATCGCTTTAAATGTAAGTAATTAAGTTTAGATGTAGCAACAGAAACATAGATATGGTAATTCTTATCAAAATTCAGCATTACATGATGTTAACAGAACGAGCGGACACTAGACACATTTGGTGTAGGGGACTGTAGAAATCCAACGTGTTTTTTAACATCTTCATCAAAATTCTGCTTGACATTGAGACATGGACTACTTTAGAAAATTTGAAAAAAGATCATAATAGTTATATGGTTATAAAACCAGAAAGCACACTAGGAAAGCCAATTTACTATTTTGAAGGAGTGCATATTGTACCAATAAATGTATGCAACAGCCTGTAAAACCCATCACATGAAAAAACAATGGTAGTTCTGAGGCAGAACTTGTAAAAGAGATGTATTGGCTGATCTGGTTAAAATAAGCAGACATACAAGTAACAAAGACAGGGAACAGAAGATCACTGCAAACTGTGTGAGTAAACTGAGTAAGATCTTTGTGTAACAAGGAATGGAGATGACTTTTAAGCTTTTCCCTTTGTGCTTTCCTTTTCTAGGTTGCTCTCTTTTCACCTTCTTTTCATTTCAACAGGCCTTTTACTCCCTACCTACAGTATGATACAACAGTTTAAAGTTTAAACAAGAAACT